TAGTAACCACTTGAACTAAAGCCCACCCTCACCCTATATTTCAGAGACTCTCTGATGATTGGTAGCTTTAATGGACAGATGCTTATAATCTAAGGCACAGGAAAAGAGCCTCGTTTTTTACAGTTTTGATGGAGGGATTTACTTAGTTTACTCTTTAAAAAAATATATTTTCATTGATTTCAGAGAGGAAGGGAGAGAGATTAGAAACATCAATGATTAGAGAGAATCATTGATTGGCTGCCTCCTGCACCCCTTCTCCTGGGTATCAAGCCTACAACCTGGGCATATGCTCTTGACCTGAAATCAAGCCTGGGACCCTTCATTCCACTGGTAATCCTCACCTGAGGATATTTTTCCATTGTTTTTTAGAGAGAGGGAAAGACAGAGAAATACCATGGGAGAGAAACACACTAATTGGTTGCCTCCCTCAAGCACCCTTCCAGGGCTGGGGCCCAGGGAAGGGGCCTGCAGCCGAGGTATGTGACCTTGACCAGAGTTGAACCTGGGACCCTTTGGTCTGTAGGCTGATACTCTGTCCACTGAATCAAACCGGCTAGGGCTGAGCTGCTTTTCAAAAAAATTTTTTTTAACATATTTTTATTGGTTTGTGAGAGGGGGAGAGAGAGAGAATCATCAGTGATGAGAGAGAATCATTGATTGGCTGCCTCCTGCACATCCCTTATTAGGGATTGAGTGTACAATCCGGGCATGTGCCCTTGACTGGAATCCAACCCAGGACCCTTTAGTCCACAGGTCAACGCTCTATTCACTGAGCCAAACGGGCTAGGGCTGCTTTTCAAAAATTTTTGAGTAAACTCTAGGAAGGAATTGCGGGGAGGAGTTAAGGTACTTGATCAAATAAGCTCTGATATCTACCAATTGGAGATTCTGGACAGTCTTTAAAAAAGTCAGTAGTGCTTGGTCAGAAAGGTGGTTGTTTATATATAAAAGTTACAGTCTTTTGAAGGGAAAGAAGTACCAACTATGGTAAAGTGACATTAAATTGAGACTTTATTGTCTATGAGAATCTTCGTTATTGTCTACTTATATTGCTTTTTTCCTATTTTCATCTTTCACCCTTCGTTCCATCTACAGTGTATTTTAGAAGCCTCTGAAAAGAGGGTCAAGATAATTAATGAATCGGTAACAGAGAAGTAGAAGGCTGTCTCATCCTGTTTTATATTCTCTGAGGCTGAGAAAAGCCTCCAAATCTTACATATTCCGACTAGAGGCAACAGTAGTAGTTTTGGACATTGTCTGGTTCCTTGTGACAAAATTAGAAGAAAAGTAGTGAATCTTTTTTAGTTTTGGGAGAAAGAGAAACATCAACTTGTTGTTCCATTTATTTATGCATTTAATTGGTAGATTTTTTTATGTGCCCTGACCAGGGATCAAACTCCCAAACTCCCAATCTTGACATATCAGGTTGATGCTCTAACCAACTGAGCTACCTGGCAGGTTCCTGAATTTCTTACTACATTGTATTGTCAGCCATTTAATCAAAGAGCAGGCTGCCCTGTCCAGTGTTTCTCAATGGTTTAGAGCAGTGGTCGGCAAACCACGGCTCATGAGCCACATGCGGCTCTTTGGCCCCTTGAGTGTGGCTCTTCCACAAAATACCACGTGCAGGTGTTTAGAGTGTTGGCCTGCGCACCAAAGGGACTTGGGTTCAATTCCCAGTCAAGGGCATATACCTCAATTGTAGGTTCCATCTCAAGCCCCCTTCAAAATTTTTTGAAAAGTATCTCAATTAAGCAGCTTGGGGATAGTACGGGAAGCAACCAATCAATGTCTTGCACATCAATCTTTCCCTCGCTCCCACTGTTAAAAATCAATGGGAAAATATCCTTAGATGAGGATTAACAACAACAAAAGCAGGCTGTATTTTTGTTTCTATTTTTAAACTTTTAAACTTGGATTAAGAGGTTTCAGAGGAATGCTTACTCTTTTTAAAAAAAATATATTTTATTGATTTTTTTACAGAGAGGAAGGGAGAGGAGAGGGATAAAGAGTTAGAACAGTGATGGCGAACCTATGACACTCATTTTTTTGGTTGATTTTTCTTTGTTAAATGGCATTTAAATATATAAAATAAATATCAAAAATATGTCTTTGTTTTACTATGGTTGCAAATATCAAAAAATTTCTATATGTGACACGGCACCATAGTTAAGTTAGGGTTTTTCAAAATGCTGACACACCGAGCTCAAAAGGTTCGCCATCACTGAGTTAGAAACATGGATGAGAGAGAAACATCAATTCAGCTGCCTCCTGCACACTCACTGCTGGGGATGTGCCCGCAACCAAGGTATATGCCCTTGACTGGAATTGAACCTGGAAGGAACCCTTCAGTCCGCAGGCCAACGCACTGTCCACTTAGCCAAACCAGTTAGGGCAGAATGCTTACTCTTTATTTTTATTTTATTTCTTTAGACTGCCCATTTCCTTATTTTGGGTGGGCCTTAATGATAGTAATTTATGTGTAAAGAACAGAAAGGTCATTGATACCAGAATTGTTTTGATTAGATCTAACGGGTAATACGGACACGTGATTGTTGTGTGGTATAATTTAGTGCTCATTTAAAAAATAATTTGGCTCCCCTAATTGTTACATTTTAAAAATCACCTTATTAAAACTAGACCTGATTTTACTTTGTGTCCACAAAGCCTCTTAATACTTTGAAGTAATTTTAGACTATAGAATTGTTGCCCAGAAAAGTACAGATTGTCCTTATACTAACAACTTACACACCATAATAAAATGAACAAACCAGAAATTAACATGTGGTTCAGTATTATTAACTGAACTGTGGACCTTAATTCACATTTCATAAGCTTTTTCTCTAATATCCTTCCTATGTTTTACAATTCATTTAGTTGTGTCTCTTTAGTCTTTCGATCTGTGACAGTTTTTAATTCCTCATTCTATGCTTTTGACACTTGAGTTCTGGTCCATTATTTTGTATAGTGGATTTTAGTTTAGGTTTGTTCTTAATATGATTAGACTGCGGTACATATTTTTTTAAGCGAGAATACCACCTAACCAGGGGCTACATAATGTCAGACATTAATTGATACTTTATTAACCTTTATCAGTGGTTATGATGTCTGCTGGTTTTTTGTTTACAAAATTACTATTTTTCAAATTGAAAGTGATAAGTATCTTGGAGAGATAATTTCACACCATGCAGATAATATCCAATTTCTCCTGAAGGCTTGCCCATTCATTTTAGCACATTGGTGGGTCTTGTCTGCAACAGTGAGTATTGTCTTTTCCCTAATGTGGAACTTATTTTTTTAAATATATTTTTATTGATTTCAGAGAGGAAAGAGTGGGAAAGAAAGATAGAAACATCAATGATGAGAGAGAATCATTGATTGGCTGCCTCCTGCATGCCCCTTACTGATGCTCTATCTAGTGAGCCAAACTTGGCTTGGGCCAGCAGATCCATTCTTAAAGGATGTTCTGATTTGGTAGTTGAGGGTTAGGACGCAGTTTCAGAAAGTCTTATCTATAGTTCCAAAGTTCAGACAGCTCTGAAAATTGAAAATCTTTATTTGGCAGCAAAACCTCAATTAAACAGATGTGAGATCAGTCTTTATGTAGTGAGAAATAAAAATTCTATTAGGGATCTTGCTTTTTAGATCCTTTGGGCATGTTAATGTCAGTGCATCATATTACACTAAAAATATTTTTGTCTTTATAAAAAATATTTTTTGTCTTTATAAAAAATATTTTTTTTATTGATTTTAGAAACTCAATGATGAGAGTGAATCATTGATCGGCTGCTTCCTGCATGTTTCCCACTAGGGATTGAGCCTGCAACCCAGGCATGTGCCCTGACCAGTATCAAACTGACCTCCTGATTCATAGATTGACACTCAACCGCTGAGCCACACCAACTGGACTTACTTAAACTTTAAGGAGATCTATAGTACATGCTATGTAAATTCTGAATGATATAAATTTAAAGCAAAGTTATAGAGTCTTAACTGTTTGAAGAATAAGCTGTATTATTAAGGGGTCCTTAGGTAAAAAACATTGCAAACAAAAAATAGTTCCCTAACTCTTTTTTTCCTACATTGTAGTGGGGAAATTTTTAAAGCAAATTTCCAGGTTGTGGCTAGGTAGCTCAGTTGGTTAGAGCATCAACCGGATACACCGAGTTCAGTCCTTGGTCAGGGCACATACAAGAATCAAGCAATGAATGCATAAATAAGTGTAACAACAAATTGATGATTCTCTCTTTCTAAACGCAATCAATAAAATTTTTTAAAAAATACTTTTCCAGAATTAGCTTAATGTTATAATTAAAATAAATTGGGAAAGGATAAATATATCTGACCTTGATTTATAAGTATTTTACATAAAACTTTATAATGCTCACAGAGTAACATCTTTAGTGTTTTTGCAGTTTTAACCCACAAAAATAAGTTGATTTGTGTGTTTAAGTGAAGAGCACATTAGTCCCTTGCGGTATTTTTTTATCTCAAAATTACTATATCGGTATACTTAACTGGTATAGCATTTAAAGATTATCTTAGAACAATGATCGCCAACCTTTCAGACCTCACGGACCATCAGTGGTGTGGGCCACGGGTCGGTGACCGCTGTCTTAGAAGATGTTAATTTGTAATTGTTCCATCTAGATTTTTTAAGGTTAACAACAAAACCTAATAACTTAAAGTAGTGTACTAAAGCCCTGGCTAATGTGGTTCAGTGGATTGAGCATTGTTCTATGCACCAAAAGGTTGCCCACAATTCCCAGTCAGGGCACATGCCCAGGTTTCCAGTCAATGTTTCTCTCCCTCTCCCTTGCATTCTGTCTAAAGTCAATTTTTTTTAATAGTATAAAGTAGTACGTTAAATTTTTCCCAAAAAGCCAACATTGGTGATTGGATTAGGCATATTATCGGGCTGTGCTCTGCCCTCTTCATCCCCAACTTTTTGTTCCTGAAGATATGCTATAAAAATATTGATTTTTTTTTTTCTTCCATAGGAATAAAAAAATACGTTGTTGGCCTTATTATCAAGACCTCATCTGATCCAACTTGTGTAGAGGTAAGAGATTTTTTGAAGATTATTGTGAAAATGTAAAAGCATTCAAATATTGGATCTTCAACTTAAACCTTACTATCACAGAGCTATAAACACATATACACAGTCATTTTCAATAAATATGCAGTTATTTTTCTCTCGGAGGTTTCTTATGCTTTTGTTCTTAACTATAGCTATTTTAGGCTCTCATTTAAACTAAATGTTTCTCTTTTCTTAGAAGGAAAAAGTATATATCGGAAAATTGAATATGATTCTTGTTCAGGTAAGTTTTCACTGTTTTCCTCAGAAGAGTTCAATGTTTCAGTTAGGCTAATTACTTGAACAAAATATTTGAACCCACTTTATTGAATAACTAAACTAACATCTTGCAGAAGTAGTGATAGCAATATTTTTTAAAAATATATTTTTATTGATTTCAGAGAGGAAATGAGAGGGAGAGAGGTAGAAACATCAATGATGAGAGAGAATCATTGATGAGCCTCCTCCTGCTCGCCCCCTACTGGGACCGAGCCTGGCAACCCGGGCATGTGCACTTGACCAAAATTGAACCTGGGACCCTTCAACCAAACTGGCTAGGGCGATAGTAGTCTTTATAATAACTATAATAGTTAACCTACTATGTAGCATTTGAAATTGTAAGACTGAAAACCCATCACTCTATGGCTCCAAAATGGATTGGACTCGATTAAAATTTTCTCGTTTATGCTTGGTACTGTGTGTGTTTCCATGTTATCTGTCAGTTTTAATTATTTTTTATTATAGCATTCCTTTAATCTGTAAGACAGTTTTTCAAACTTTCTGTATAATCTAACTTTAGAAATTTTAACTTACCTGTTTTTAATGTAAAAAAAAATTTTCCTGCCCTGGCCAGTTTGGCTCACTGGATAGAGCTTCGGCCTGGGGACTGAAGGGTCCCAGGTTCGATTAAGGTTGAGGGCATGTGCCTTGGTTGCGGGCCATCCCCAGTAGGGGGCGTGCAGGAGGCAGCTGATAGGTGCTTCTCTCTCATTTGTTTCTAACTCTCTATCCCTCTCCTTTCCTCTCTGTAAAAAAATCAATAAAATATATTTTAAAAAATTTTTTTCCTGAGATTAATTGGGTGTGTACGAAAAACGAAAATTTTCTCTTTAATAGTTTTGGGAACTTAAATGATTTTTAAAACATTTGCATTTTCACTGATAACTCAATAACTATCGGCTTTTATACTAAAGACTTTTTGTTGTTAACCTATTTCTGTATGGGGAGAGGAAGGAGTACAAAGAAGATAGTAACCTCTTAATTCACAGGTGCTATTACAGAATATCTGGTTCAGAAATATCCCTAGTGTACAGTATATGCAGTACAGATTTAAAAATTGAACACAGTCTATTATTGGTCAAAAAATTATTCTATCCCCAATTGTAATGCCTCCTTTCTTCTATTAAATTTATATATCCAAACTTATGCCTATCTGGCAGATATTATATGCATACACATTAGAGCCAGATTAGACCAGTTGGGATAACAGAGTAGTTGTAGGGCATTTGAGACAGAGGGCTTCATCTGTGTTGTACTTTCTATCCAGTGTATTTTTGTGAATGGTGGCACATTTCCTCTTTTAATAAAGCAGTAGAAAATGGAAAGTGGTTTGATATTTGCTCCTTTTAATATGACGCAATACCTTTGAAGTTTTGCCATTGACGAGTGAAATGAAATTAACATTTTCTTATTTTAGATACTGAAACAGGAATGGCCAAAACACTGGCCAACTTTTATCAGTGACATTGTTGGAGCAAGTAGGACCAGTGAGAGTCTCTGTCAGAATAATATGGTGATTCTTAAACTCTTGAGTGAAGAAGTATTTGATTTCTCTAGTGGACAGATAACCCAAGTGAAAGCTAAGCATTTAAAAGACAGGTGAGTATTCTGTTTTAGAAGCTCAAGTAATTTCTCAAACTATTGAAAGGAATTTGGAAGCAGGCTGTAAGTTTTTAAAGGATTATGATTGTTAATATGATAAATTACTTTTATTTGTTTTATAGTGCAAATTTAAATAGTTTTATAGTGAGCCTAATCTAAATCTGGAGGCTTAAAAAGTAAATATGGTGTTAAAGATAAGATTTTATACTTCATTGTCACAGCAAAAGAACGTCATACATCACATGGGAAAGGATTGTAGGTTGAGAATTCCCTTTGGGATATGTTTTATATAGTGACTACTTAATTATGGCTTCCAAGGAAAATTACTTGTGTCCAAATGCCAGCTGAATTTTTACTAGTCCTGCATCTTGTGGGTTTCCTACTGTTAACACTAGGATCATGCTAGACTTTATTTTCTTTCTTCTTAGTTATTAAAAATTAGTTGAAGTCATTAAGACACAGCAGTATATCACTTTTATATACCATTATGTGGTCAAACTAGCTTCAGAGTTTACAATATTTCCTCTGATTTGGTGTATTTGGCATATACAGGATATGACAAAAGTAGGTTTACAATTTGTTCCTATGGAAAAAAAATACATAGCTAATAAATCATGGAAGAATAAACTGTTTCATGTACTCATATCTGTAAAGCTACTTTTGACCAATTCTGCATATAATGCCACTTCACTTATTTTGGAGAGTTGTGGGTTTTGTTTTTTTAATGTATTTACAGATTTTTTAGAGAGAAGGGGTGGGGAGAGAGAGAAAGAGAAATAGCAACATTGATCAGCTGCCTCCTGCACTCCCCCACCAAGGCATCAAGACAGCAACCTGGGCATGTGCCCTGACCTGGAATCAAACAGGTGACCTTGGTGCATGAGTTGACACTCAACCACTGAGCTACAACAGTGGAGGGTTGTTTTTTTTTATTTTTTATTTTTATGTTTTAACTAACTTGATATCAAAGACTTGATTGATCTATTTAATATTTACAGTAAGAATGATTTAAAAAATCAAGAAACAGTTTAATAACTGTAGCTTTTGATGAAGTTGTTGGTGTATGTGTTTAAATGAGAGTAACTGAAGTTTTTAATGCGCAGATTGGAGTATGTAATATTTGTTAATATGTAAATAATTACAGTATTTTTATTTGTCTTCTGAACCAATCACTTTTCATTTTTAGCATGTGCAATGAGTTCTCACAAATCTTTCAGCTGTGCCAGTTTGTGATGGTAAGTGCTTTCATTTTTACTTTTTTAAATAACAGTTATATATAAGAAGATAATTATTTTATAGGTTTGTTTTCATTGCAGGAAAATTCCCAAAATGCTCCACTTGTACATGCAACATTGGAAACGTTACTCAGATTTCTTAACTGGATTCCACTGGGATATATTTTTGAGACCAAGTTAATCAGCACATTAATTTATAAGGTAGAGTGAATACATTTCACTTATCACTGAATAGTTGCATTTATTATGTTATTTTATAATGCTCTTTCATATAGAAAATTATTCTGCATTTATAGCCACAACCAACTTTGTTTCTGAGATAAGGAACCTGCTCAGAAGAACTTTTCCATAGTTTCAGCTAGTAGTTCTTGAAATGATTGTTCCACTTAGACCATGTAATTTCATAAATTCCATGTGAACAACTAGGAATAGATCTGATTCTATTTTAGGTGATTATATAGACTACAGGGAGGTAAGGTAAGGAATGTTTCTAAAAAATGGAACATCTATATTTATTTCCTGGTAATTTAAAGCACCAGCCTGGCCGCCATGGCATAGTGGTTGAGCACCGACCAATGAACCAGGAGGTCACAGTTCATTCTCAGTCAGAGCATATGCCTGGGTTGTGGGCTCAATCCCCAGTGTTGCGAGTGCAGGGGACAGCCGATCAATGATTCTCTCCCATCGGTATTTCTCTCTCTCTCTCTCTCTCTCTCTCTCTCTCTCTCTCTCTCTCTCTCTTCCCCCCCCCCCCCCCCTGAAATCAATAAAAATATAGCTCTAACCGGTTTGGCTCAATGGCTAGAGCATTGGCCTGCAGACTGAGGGTCCCAGGTTCCATTCCGGTCAAGAGCATGTACCTTGGTTGCGGGCATATCCCCAGTAGGGGGTGTGCAAGAGGCAGCTGATTGATGTTTCTCTCTCATCAATGTTTCTAACTCTCTATCCCTCTCCCTTCCTCTCTGTAAAAAATCAATAAAATATATTAAATAAAAAAATAAATATATATTAAAAAAAATAAAAGCAACATGTAATGCCTAGATGAAGTCTTATACTTGTTTATCCAGACATAACCAGTTTCCAAGTGGTTTTATTTTCAAATCTTTTTTGAACAGATGTAATGAATAAATTGTGCCTAATTGTGACTTTATAAAAGCAGGCAATTATAATTTACATTTTGGGCTTTGTAGTTCAGGGTTTGAGAAGGTCATAATCTGATAAATGAATTTATAATGTTGGAGATTTTTAAAAATATATTTTTATTGATTTCAGAGAAGGGAGTCGGGGAGGGAGATAGAAACATCAGTGATGAGAAAGAATCATTGATTGGCTGCCTCCTGCAGGCCCCCTACTGGGGATTGAGCCCGCAGCCCTGGCATATGCCCTGGACCGGAATTGAACTCAGGACCTTTTAGTCTGCAGGTTGACACTATCAGCACTGAGCAAAACGGGCTAAGGCTAGAGATATTTTATTACTAGACAGTTTGTTTAAAAAGAAAGAAAGAAAAGAAAAGGGGGGGGAAAGAAAGTTACCATTACTACAAATTCTCACCAACGCTTGCTATTGTCAGACTTTAAAAATTTTCACCAGTCTGGCGGGAATAAAACAGGAACTCGTATTTCTCCAGTAACTAATGAAGTTTGAGCATATTTTCAAATATTTATTTACCACCTAGATGCATTCTATTTAAAGCTGTTCATATTTGTCTATTTTATGTTAGGTTTTTTATCTTTTTCTTACTGATTTAAAGGTGCGTATGTGGCTGGATACTAACCCTGAATCCGCCATATGTGTAGTGAGTGTCTTCCTCCAGATTTCGTTTCTGTTTTCACTCTGTTGATTTCTTTTGGGGAACAATTTTATTATTTTAATATTAATGCCGGTGGTTCTTGATCCTCCATCAAGAAGGGTTCAGATATCTGGAGAAGGGGCTGTGCGTAAATTAAATAAGAGTCCAGAGACGAAACATAATTTTGAAAGGCATTATAGGGAGTCAGAAGACTTAGCTAAAGGAAACCAAGTTTTCCTTGTCTCAGGACCCCTTGCTTTTTATTAACACAAATTGTCCTAAGGCAAGGTAGATATACACATCAAAGGGTATACACAGTCCATTGTCAGAATGGGGAATTACCTCCAGCTGTTTAGGTGTTTGGTCAGGCGAAGGCCAGGAGGAGGCAATAACATGTAGATTAAGATGCCCTTAGCTGTCTGTCAGCAAGCAATCATTTATATATCCTTTTCAGGTTTGGGGAAATGCCATCAGCCATTCCTAGATGATTCAGCCCTTGCTGACATGCTGGAATTGGCTTCCGGCAAATGTAGTTGAATTTATACTTTAAAAAAAAAATAGATAATTTGTATTAGACTGTTTGCTATTGTCAATAGTACTAAAGGTTACATTCTTATACATAAGACATTTATGCCCTGTGGGAATATTTATTTTGTGTGAACTTGTGTTAAATATCAGGTAAATAGTAATGTCCATTTCTAAGGCTTTTGTTGCTTCCCAAATTACCATCCACAAATGGCATGCCATCTTTATATCATCTCAGCAAGAGAATATGAAAGAGCTACTTTTCCCACGTCTTCATTAATCATTGGTGTGTTTCCGTCTCCTAAAATCTGAACAGTTATAAATCTTGGATTCTTTTTAGACTACGCAGAAAATATGGTGTTCTTAAAAGTCACATAATGGGTCTTGGATAGGTTACTAAGCAAATTTGTGTTTTTCAGATGTCCCAGACACATCAAAAGAAAGCACAGTTTGCTCTTAAATTATTTATTGTCAATAAGGCGGTTAATGAAATTTTCTCAAAATACATGTGCAAAACAAAATTAGCTGTCACCTGCTTACCTGCTTTTGGGGAGGGAGGGTCTATATTTGATGTACTAGTAAAATCATTTATTTTTCCCCTCCAATTTTAATTTTAAGTAAAATGTTTCAGGCCCTTTAATTTTATGTTTTCTTTTTTGTATTAAAACAGTTCCTGAATGTTCCAATGTTTCGAAATGTCTCTCTGAAGTGCCTCACTGAGATTGCTGGTGTGAGTGTAAGCCAATATGAGGAACAATTTGTCACGCTATTTACACTGACAATGATGCAGCTAAAACAGGTAAAACACTCAAAAACTGAGTAAATTTATGTTCCTTAGAAAGGGGTAGATTAGAGTTTAACCATTTCAGAGTCATTTATAATAGACCGAGTATAATATGATTGCATATTTATTCTATAAAATGAGTAAACTAGCCATTTTAATGAGCCATTTTGAAAATTCATTAAATGCTTACAAATCTGGGGATTAATGTCAGCTGCTTCTGACCTTATGTCTGAAATGAAGGATTGTGCAGTTCTAGTTTATATAATTTATCTAAAAGATTGATCATAATATGACGTTACTGTATGTTATATGAATAAATTAATTGAATGTTTTTACATTTCTGATAAGATTAAAGAGGGAAAAGTTTGATCCAGGAAAGAATTCAGAGTATAGTCTGAGTAAATCTTATTACTTGCATAAATACCTAAGATCTGGAAACAGCCCAAGTGCCCATCAGTAGATGAATGGATAAAGAGGCTGTGGTACATTTATACCATGGAATACTATGCAGCAGTAAAAAAAAGGAGAATATCTTACCCTTTGAGACAGCATGGAGGGACCTGGAGAGTATCATGCTAAGTGAAATAAGTCAGTCAGAGAATTAAGTGTCATGATTTCACTTATATGTAGAATCTAGGTAACAAAATAAAATAATGAACAGAGTGTATCCAGAAATAATGGAAGCATGGACCAGAGTGCAGAATCTCAGATGGAAGGTGGGGGAAGGTGGACAACGGTGGGTGGGAGGTAATCAATCAAAGACTTTGTATGTATATATGCATAACCCATGGACATACACAATAGGTTTGTCAAGGTCTAGGGTAGAGGACAGTGCCAGGCTGGAGGGAGTAAAAGGGGACATATGTAATACTTCAAACAATAAAGGATTTTTTTTTTAATGTGTACAAAGCTAGCACACAAAGATACAAAAACAGTCATAACTGACCAAGGAGAATAAGATATTTGACTACTTTAGTATTGGTAAAAGGGTAATGGAATCTTTGGGCTTAAATGTACTGTCTTTTTTCATTGGTTTTAAAATGCAGGCTAATAGTCTCTATTTAAACCTGCAGATGCTTCCTTTAAATACCAATATTCGACTTGCATACTCAAATGGAAAAGATGATGAACAGAACTTCATTCAAAATCTCAGTTTGTTTCTCTGCACGTTTCTTAAGGAACATGGTCAACTTATAGAAAAAAGACTAAATCTCAGGGAAACACTCATGGAGGTAGGCTTTGTGGAGCCTTTGGCTTCTGAAACTCTTTTTTTACATGATAACAAATTCCTAAAGGGTGTACAGACGTGTCAAGATAGATAGATATATATATTTCAGAGAGGATTGGAGGAGAGGGATAGAAACATCAAAGATGAGAATCATTGATTGGCTGCCTGCTCCATGTCCCACACTAGGGATCAAGTCCGGAACCTGTGCACATGCCCTGACTGAGAATCAAACCGTGTCCTCCAGGTTCCTAGGTCCATGGTCAACCACTGAGCCATGGCAGTTGGGTCAGATGTGTCATTTCTAAGATGAAGTCTAATGACCTTACTTAAAAATTGATGTGTAGCCTGGCTTGTGTGGTTCAGTGGTTGATTGTCGACCCATGAACTGGGAAATTGCAGTTCTATTACTGGTCAGTGAACCTGTCTGGGTTATGGGCTCAACCCCCCGCGCCGCCCCCCCCCCCAGGGGGGGGTGTGGAAGGCCCACATGCCAGGGGCAGCTTTTTGATAATTCTCATCATTGATTTTTCTATCTCTCTCTCCTCCTTTCCTCTCTCTAAAATCAACTTAAAGCCCTAGCTGGTTTGACTCAGTGGAAGAGTTTCGGCCTGCGGACTGAAGGGTCCTAGGTTTGATTCCAGTCAAGGACACATAATACCCGGGTTGTGGGCTTGATCCACAGTAGGGGACATGCAGAAGGCAGCCAATCAGTGATTCTCTCTCACCATTGTTATATCTATCTCTACCTCTACCTTACTCTCTGAAATCAATTCTATATAATAAAGAGGTACTATGCAAATTGACCATTGCACCCTTGCACAAGATGGCTGCCCCCATGTGGTCAGAAGATAACTGGCAGGGGAGGGCAGTTAGGGGCAACCAGGCCAGCAGGGGAGGGCAGTTGGGGGACCATGCTGACAGGGCAGCAGGTAGGCATCGATCAGGCTGGCAGGGGAGTGGTTAAGGGGTAATCAGGCTGGCAGGCAGAAGTGGTTAGGGGCAATCAGGCAGGCATGTGAGTGGTTGGGAGCCAGCCATCCTGGATTCTGAGAGGGATGTCGGTTTCCTAAACCAGCACATCCCCCGAGGGTTCCCAGATTGGAGAGGGTGAAGGCTGGGCTGAGGACCCCCTCCTTCCCCTGCCCCATCCCCATGTATGAATTTCGTGCACTGGGCCTCTAGTAAAAATATATTTAAAATCAATTTTAAAGCCCTTACTGGTTTGGCTCAGTGGATAGAGCGTTGGCCTGCGGACTGAAGGGTCCCGGGTTCGATTTCGGTCAAGGGCATGTACCTTGGTTGCGGGCATATCCCCTGTGGGGAGTGTGCAGGAGGCAGTTGATCGATGTTTCTCTCTCATCGATGTTCTAATTCTCTATCCCTCTCCCTTCCTCTCTGTAAAAAATCAATAAAATATTTAAGAAAATAAAATCAATTTTAAAAACATATGTTTTTTAAAAAATTGATTTGTACTCCACATAAAATAAAACTATCCAGTTTAAAGTGTATAATTCAGTGCCATTTAGTACATTCACAGTGTTTTCAACCATCTCTTTTTCAAGAGATTTTTACCCACAAACCAGTGATATACCCATTGAAAGTTACCTCATTCTTTTTTCTCCCCCATTCCTTCACAGCCACTGATTTGCTCTCTATTTCTGGAATTACATACTCTAAATCTTTCATACAAATGGAATCATATGGTCTTCTGTAGTTGGGTTTTCAAGGTTCATGTTACATCATGAACCAGTACTTGATCCTTTTTTTATGACCGAGTAATATTTTATTGTATGGCTATATCAAATTTTGTGTGTTCATTCATCAATTGATGGATATTTGGATTGTTTGTTTCTTTTTGCTTATTGATACCAACTAATTACTACATAAGTGTTCCAGGACATGTATAAAGAAAACAGAATTTGCCCTGACCGGTTTGGCTCAGTGGATAGAGCGTCGGCCTGCGGACTGAAGGGTCCCTGGTTCGATTCCGGTCGGGGCATGTACCTTGGTTGCGGGCACATCCCCAGTGGGAGGTGTGCAGGAGGCAGCTGATCGATGTTTCTCTCTCATCGATGTTTCAAACTCTCTGTCCCTCTCCCTTCCTCTTTGTAAAAAATCAATAAAATATATATTTTTTAAAAAAGAAAACAGAATTTGCTCCTAAAGAATTTTTAGTATGGTGCATGAATAATGAAATATCAGAGTTGTGAAACTTAAAACAGGAACTTTTATTTCTGAATAACACAATGAGTGCAAAGCAATTAATGTCTTAAGAGTTATTTTAATAGTTTTGGTCTTCTTTGTAGGCCCTTCATTATATGTTGTTGGTATCAGAAGTGGAAGAAACGGAAATCTTTAAGATTTGTCTTGAGTACTGGAATCATTTGGCAGCTGAACTCTATAGAGAGAGCCCATTCTCTACGTTGGCCTCTCCGTTACTATCTGGAAGTCAGCATTTTGATGTTCCTCCCAGGAGGCAGTTGTATTTGCCTGTGTTATCCAAGGTAACAGTAAAGTGGGTGGTTGATGCTCTTGTGGCTTACTGTGATTTTTAGAGCTAAATGCAAGCACTGGCTTTTGTTTTTTTACTAATCTATCCAAATAAATGGGCTACAAAAAGAGTCCAACTTCCCCAGGCATGTTGAAAACCAGAACATGCAAGGGATTGTTATAAGCACATCTGTGAGTTTGTTAGAAAGTTAAGAGGCTACCCCCTTTCAGTGTCTGGATGAAGCACTGGATATTTAATAGATGGTTTTTATTCATGTTAAAGTTTGAGAACCACTGTTAATAGAATTACATTTTAAATATGTTCATTCTTTTATATTGTCAGGGCAGTTTGGTACCTTGAGGTGCATATAATCTAATTTTTTAATCTATATTTGATGTGGCTGATTTCTGAGATTAACAGATTTTTCTTGTTGTTGAATAGGTTCGTTTATTGATGGTTAGTCGTATGGCTAAACCAGAGGAAGTATTGGTTGTAGAAAATGATCAGGGTGAAGTTGTAAGGGAATTCATGAAGGATACAGATTCCATAAATTTGTATAAGAATATGAGAGAAACATTAGGTAAGTTAATAAATACTATTAATTTAAGTCTTTGTGATTCTATTCTGGAATGGAAATATTGTAGGAAATGTGATCCACTTAGTTTCTGAATCTGTTAATAGCCATTTTATTAATGTGCTGCTCTTCCCTTAGTAAAAGTTTTTGCTCATTAAATTTCGCATCTGAAACATCTGAAACTTTTTTTCCTTTGTAGTTTATCTTACTCATCTGGATTATGTAGATACAGAAAGAATAATGACTGAAAAGCTTCACAATCAAGTGAATGGTACAGAATGGTCATGGAAAAATTTAAATACATTGTGTTGGGCAATAGGCTCCATTAGTGGAGCAATGCATGAAGAGGATGAAAAACGATTTCTTGTTACTGTTATAAAGGTATGCACGTTGTATGTATAGACTGGAATCATTAAGTAATTATGTTTAATTATAAATTACTGAAATTTGTCTTATTTTACAGGATCTATTAGGATTATGTGAACAGAAAAGAGGCAAAGATAATAAAGCTATAATTGCATCAAATATCATGTACATAGTAGGTCAATATCCAAGATTTTTAAGAGCTCACTGGAAATTTTTAAAGACTGTTGTTAACAAGCTGTTTGAATTCATGCATGGTAAATCCTTTTTATTTAATATATTTTATATAGTTGTTTGTTTTTGTTTAAAAATTATTTTTGAAATTTTTTTAAATAAATGTTTTTGTTTCATTAGAGACCCATGATGGAGTCCAAGACATGGCTTGTGATACTTTCATTAAAATAGCCCAGAAGTGCCGCAGGCATTTTGTTCAGGTTCAGGTTGGAGAAGTAATGCCGTTTATTGATGAGATTTTGAACAATATTAACACTATAATTTGTGATCTTCAACCTCAACAGGTATGGGAGATCTTAGCCTATTTTCTTAGAAAGTAACTACTGTTTTAGTCAGATGGGAATAGAAAGAATGTCACTATTAGATTCAGTTCCAAGTATCTCTGTTTAAGTTTTTATAGTGAAGGAAAAGTTCAACCAGAGTTTGTCAGGCTGTTTTTCTGTCTAATTTATTTCTGACACTTCAATGAAATTAGTTTCAGTATAGACGTGAATTGTTTGTGTATGGTTTTCCTTATTATGTATGATACATAAAAGTAAAATGTCTGCCTTTCAACATAGGTCCATACATTTTATGAAGCTGTGGGGTACATGATTGGTGCACAGACAGACCAAACAGTACAAGAACATTTGATAGAAAAATACATGCTGCTTCCTAATCAAGTTTGGGATAGCATAATCCAGCAGGCAACCAAAGTAAGTTATATTACTTTTTACAGAAGTTATGGTGGAATTTAAGAAGTGTGTTATTTTTAGGAGCAGTGAACTCAGTGCCTTTGACATGCATACCTGATTCATAACTACTTTTGTGTTTGTTTTTGTGCATTAAAGAAATAAGTATTTTTATTTTGTTTTGCTGGTACATTGGGAAGATTTCACTCTAATGTTGGTTGTAGGTATTAGTAATAGACTTCTGTGTTTTTATACCATTATGGATTATAAATGTGATTATAAATTTGGAATAATGTTGGTAGTGGTTTTTGCTTTAATAATTACAAGGATAATTCTCATGTGATAAATAGATGTTTTTGTCTTTCACAGAATGTGGATATACTTAAAGATCCTGAAACAGTTAAGCAGCTTGGTAGCATATTGAAAACAAATGTGAGAGCCTGCAAAGCTGTTGGACACCCCTTTGTAATTCAGCTTGGGAGAATTTACTTGGATATGCTTAATGTATACAAGTGCCTCAGTGAAAATATATCTGCAGCTATTCAAGCTAATGGTGAGTGATTTTGAATTCTTATGGAATGTTGTACAACATCAATTCTACGTTCTCTGCCTTAGTGTAGGCATTCAGTAGTTCTTACAGATTTTAAATAAGCCTCCCTCCAGATAACCCTAGATAATTTTTTAACTAGTTGCATGCCCCTTCCCTTATAAAATTAGTCTTTTTTCCCCCCATTAAATACATCTTTAGAGGTAAATAGTATTGGAAGTACCTGTAATTACCAATATAGAATTTTATTTGTCAAGTTGGCTTCCACTTGGTTGTATTTTTTAGGTGAAATGGTTACAAAGCAACCGTTGATTAGAAGTATGCGAACAGTAAAAAGGGAAACTTTAAAGTTAATATCTGGTTGGGTGAGCCGGTCCAATGATCCACAGATGGTAAGTGAGATGTGTTTTTTGTTAAGTTGATGCTGCATTCTCTGGTTTAAGCTTTATCTCTGTATGTATTTGGCTAATTTAAAGGTAATTTAGATGTCTACATTTGGGATTATTGTATAGCATTCTATTTATTACAGTCTTTGACTACTTAAAATTACTAAGTTTTAAACCATCTTGCAAAGATGGTTAGATGGTGGTGATATGTAACAAGATAGCTGAGAGGAATAGATTGGGTAATTTTAATTTTTCCATGGATAGATATATAGAGTTCAGATGAAATCTTTTTGTTCATCATGATTTTCAAAGCAATTTACAAAGCTTTCATTAGTTTGCCTCCTCAGTAAAAGTACTTTACCAGCTGAAGGTTTGAAAATCTCATTTACTCTTACTGCTTTTATTCTAAATCATTTCCAGAAAGGAGTATGATTTTCAGAAACTAAATGAGCTCCATATGCCTCAACTTGGAAAAATGTGAATAATTTTTAGTTTTTGTTACACCTTTTCATTCTCTTGATCCTTGGAACATTACAAAAATTTCTGTCTTATTAACACTGCTGCATGGAAATATTGGTTGACAAGTGAGCTATTTGTATAACTTTAAAATTTCCAGGAAACTTGTTCAGAAAACTATTGTAGAATTCTCAAGGTATCAGATTTAAATATTGAAAAGTTTTGAACATGTGCATTATAAAAGTACAACTGTATTTAAAATTGGAGAGTAAAAATTAGGAAGAATTGAAGGAGTTATGAAGTTCATAATTTAAAATAGCTTGGGCAAATTTCAGGCATATCAGTGGTGATGATGATGGCACCATTATATTTTATAATTAAGACTTATATCATGGTTTAAGGCAGTAAATTTCAAAGATACTAAACACTTCAGATTCAGTTTCTAGGGAGAAAGTTCTTTTAGTCAGTATCAAGAGTAGAAATGAGGCTCTGGCCGGTTTGGCTCGGTGATTGGAATGTCGGCCTGTGGACAAGTGTCACAGGTTTGGTTCCTGGTCCAGGGCATGTACCTAGGTTGCAAGTTTCCCTGCCCCAGTAGTGGCACTTGGGGAGGCATCCAAACCAGGTGTCTCACGTAAATGAGAACCAGTTCTTCTGTAAGATGCCAAGTGGGTAATTGGAAAAATAATTTTGTGCTTACCCTCAATCTTATAAAACCTGTTTTGTATATTAGTACACCACTGACACTGGTAATATTCAATGAAGGAAAAATAGGTTGTATTTATTGTACGTCTCTCTTTTTTTTAAAAAATATATTTTATTGATTTTTTACAGAGAAGAAGGGAGAGAGATAGAGAGTTAGAAACATCGATGAGAGAGAAACATCGATCAGCTGCCTCCTGCACATCTCCTATTGGGGATGTGCCCACAACCCAGGTACATGCCCTTGACCGGAATCAAACCTGGGACCTTTCAGTCCGCAGGCTGACGCTCTATCCACTGAGCCAAACCGGTTTCGGCAATTGTACGTGTCTTGATATAGAACTTACGAAAAGCATAGATGTTACACCTTAATATGACTATGTTTATTGACAATTCTAGAAACTTCACAGTCTCTCTGGTGCAGTTCTATTTTCTTGTATAAGAAGTGATGGCTATTCTTTTTGTTTATTAAAATACATTGAGTGGGAGTACTTCCGTTTTTATAGATATTATCCACTGAAGAAACTGATATAATCTTGGTTAGGATGATTTTTTCTTTCCTGCTAGGTTCCTCATCCTTCATATACAGTATTCCTAGAATCCTGGTTTTGCTTGGAGTCAGTCGCTTGGTTTTGGGCCTTAGTTTCTTTCATAATTATAAATTTGAACTACACTATGTTCTGCCCCTTCCCAGCCTATTGTGATGTTTTGGCTTCTTTCAGTTAAATGCTTTAGTGTACAAAAAACCTAGTCAAAGTGTATTTCAGTGACTTAGCTTTTTATAATAGTAACCAAATGCATAGATTAAAAGTTTTTCCCGGCTAGTATGGCGCAGTTGGTTAAGCGTCATCCCATAGCACCTGGAGGTTACCGGTTCAATTCCTGTTTAGGGCACATGCTCGTGTTGCAGCCTTGCTCCCCTTTGGGCAGTGTGCAGGAGGCAGTTGATTGATGTTTCTCATCTATGTTTCCATCCTTCACTCCCTTCTCTCTAAAATCTAAACATATATATGTTTTTTTCTAAACTTAAAAGTGTGTTTTTTGTTTAAACAGGTAGCTGAAAATTTTGTTCCTCCTTTGTTGGATGCAGTTCTCATTGATTATCAGAGAAATGTCCCAGCTGCTAGAGAACCAGAAGTGCTTAGTACCATGGCTATTATCGTCAACAAGTTGGGAGGACATATAACAGCTGAAATACCTCAAATATTTGATGCTGTTTTTGAATGCACATTGAATATGATAAATAAGGTAATGTGATTTACATTTCAGTTATAAAATGGGAAATTCTGCAAGATATCCTAAACTCTTGAAAGCATAAATGATACCTTTGAGTGCAGCATAGGTTCTGGGGTTAAATTCTTGAACCTCTAGATCAGGGAAATGCTTATTTTGTTTTTGTTTTTGTTTTAATCTAATCTAATAAAAGAGAACATGCAAATTGACTGCAACTCCGATATGCCCCAAGCCACGCCCACTAGCCAATCAGAGTGGCTATATGCAAATTAACCCAACCAAGATGGTGGCCAGCAGCTACGGAGCTGGAGCAAGCAGGAGGCTTGGTTGCCTGGCGATGGAGGAAGCCAAGCTTCCCACCTGCCCTGGCTGGCTGTGGCCTCTGCCCAAGGCAACAAAGTTTCAATTAAACTGGTAATATGCAAATTGACCCTAATAGCAGAACGACTGGGAATGACTGATCACTATGACACACACTGACCACCAGGGGGCAGATGCTCAACGCAGGAGCTTCCCCCTGGTGGTCAGGCGCTCCCACAGGGGGAGCTCTGCTCAGCCACAAGCCAGGCTGACGGCTGCCAGCACAGCGGTGGTGGCAGGAGCCTCTCCAGCCTCCTCATCAGCGCTAAGGATGTCCGACTGCAGCTTAGGCCTGCTCCCCGCTGGCAAGTGGACATCCCCCGAGGGCTCCCGGGCTGCCAGAGGGATGTCTGACTGCCAGCAGGTGGTCATCTCACGAGGGGTTCCAGACTGCAAGAGGGCACAGGCTGGGCTGAGGAACCCCCCCACCACCACCACCCGGAGTGCACAAATTTTTGTGCACCGGGCCTCTAGTATGTATATATTACCACATTTTGTTCAAAATTTTGTGCACCAGGCCTCTAGTTTACTATAAAATAACAGCAAGGAGTACATTTGATAGATTGCATTCATTCAAATAGTAGCTTGAATTTATTGAAAACTGCATTTATAGACATTAACAATTTTAATGTATTGATTTGTGAGTCTCCAAGTTACTAATGATTACATAGCACGTTACATATGATGTTCTTTTATGTGCATTTTGATGAGTTGCTTTATAATGTGACCTAAGGTCTCCTTATTTTCATAATTCATTTGTTTAACAAATGGTAATTTTATGATCCATGAGAGGTGAATTATATTGTCTTTGAATTGGCCTTTCAGGAGACCATACAGCTTATGAGTTCCACTAACAAGTATATTAAATTCGGGCTTGCTTTTTATTTTGTTCTTACCATTTTTAGGACTTTGAAGAATATCCTGAGCACAGAACGAACTTTTTCTTACTACTTCAGGCTGTCAATTCTCATTGTTTCCCAGCATTTCTGGCTATTCCACCTGCACAGTTTAAACTTGTTTTAGATTCCATTATTTGGGCTTTCAAACATACTATGAGGAATGTTGCAGATACAGGTAAATGCATAGAAATTTACTTATTTGCCTGCCAATTTACAAATTCTACAGACACTTAGAGATAGGTGTATAGTTGTAGACAGGTAGGTGCCACTTCACTTGTCAAGTTTTGTCTGTGTAAGCTCTAAAAGCAACTTAGTTGTCTGTTTTGTACATAGTACATAGGCAGAATTAGTTATGGGAGATGGGCATAAAATTAAAAGTATGGAAACATCACTTATTGATATCTTTTTTTTTTAATTGACTTCAGAGAGGGAGGGAGGGAGAGAGAGAGAAACATCAATGATGAGAGAGTATAATTGGTCAGCTGCCTCCACATACTGAGGATCGAGCCTACAACCTGAGTATGTGCCCTAACTGGGAATCCAACCGAGACCTCCTGATTTATAGGTCAATACTCAACTACTGAGCCATGCAGGCCGTGCTCCATATCTTTATTACTGCTTCCTTTTCTCCATATGCTTTTCCACTGTGGCACTAATAATTTACTGAGGATAAATCTAAAGAACATCTCTAGCAGGAGGATTTTTTATTTGTGTATTTAAATAGTAATTGGTTTATGTAATAGAAACATCTATTTGTGCTGTTTTTGGTGTGGATGTGGAGAAAATGATCCTTCAGACATAGTGGTAAGGTGGTAATGGTTATTATTTACAGTTTATCAGAAAGCAGACATTGATTCTAAGAGACCTCTATTACTGATTCAAGATAATTTAGGCAAATAATTAGCTAAAAAGAGGGAGAATGGGCTTTGAATGAGAATAGTTTATGGGTAAAATACTATCATGTGAGTGTTACCAGTCTGTAATTTGCTGTTCTATGTATTTTAGGCTTACAGATCCTTTTTACACTTTTGCAAAATGTTGCACAAGAAGAAGCTGCAGCTCAGAGTTTTTATCAAACTTATTTTTGTGATATTCTTCAACATATCTTTTCTGTTGTGACAGACACCTCACATACTGCCGGTAAGGATTTAAAGCTATAAAAATGTTAAACGTTCCAGTTGTTAAATCTTAGAGCTAATAATAATCTTTTCATCAACAGGTTTGACGATGCATGCGTCAATACTTGCATATATGTTCAATTTGGTTGAAGAAGGAAAAATAAGTACACCATTAAATCCTGGGAATCCAGTTAACAACCAAATGTTTATTCAGGAATATGTGGCTAATCTCCTTAAGTCTGCATTCCCTCATCTGCAAGAGTAAAAATATATATATATATATTATTATTATTTTTTAATAAACAAATTTCTTATTTAAAAAAAACAATTATTTAATTTATATGTTTTGATTTGCAGTGCTCAAGTAAAGCTCTTTGTGACAGGGCTTTTCAGTTTAAATCAGGATATTCCTGCTTTCAAGGAACATCTTAGGGATTTCCTAGTTCAAATAAAGGTATGTAATTTATCTGCATTTGCAGAAATATAAGACTAACTTGATCATTAGTTTTAGGAGAAACAGCTTTTTTATATCTTTGCTTAATCTATTTATATAAACACACATATACATACTCTGGCCAGATTATTATGACCACCTGACATTTGTAGTCAAATTAGCTATAATTTCACGCTGAGGTTGCTAGAGGGCCAAACCATTATAAACGTCTGAATAGCACAACATACCTAAGTATCATTGCTGATCAAGTTCATCCTATCATGTTGATGGCGTATCCCAATGGAGATGGCTTCTTCCAACAAGACAATGCGCCATGCCACGGTGCTCGTATTGTGCAGGAGTGGTTCCAAGAATATGAGGGAGACTTTACCTTGCTTAGGTGGCCCCCACAATCACCAGATTTCAATCCAATTGAGCATTTGTGGGACGAAGTTAAAAGAGCCATCAAGCAGCTGGTTCCACAACCACCAAATCTCACAGAACTGGACAGTGCTATTCATCAGGCATGGTGTCAGATTCCTTGCATCACCTTTCAACATCTCGTGGAGTCAATACCAAGAAGAATTGCCGCAGTATTGAAGGCAAAAGGTGGCCCAACGAAGTACTGATTGGGTGGTCATAATAATCTGGCATGTGTGTATGTCATCATTCTATGGCTCTTCTATAACCTTTTTCCCACTAGCACCTTTTTTGGGGGCTTTTTGTTTTTTAATATATTTTTATTGATTTTGGAGAGAGGGAGAGAGAGAAAGAGAAACATCAATGATGAGAATCATTGATCGGCTGCCTCCTGCAGGACTCCTACTTGGGATCAAGCCCGCAATTCAACCCGGGCATGTGCTGTGACTGGGAATTGAACCATGACCTCCTGGTTCATAGGTTGATGCTCAAATTCTGTGCACCACCTTCGGTGTTTAAATCAGACACATAATACTGAAATTTAAACCCAACCAATTGATGGAAAAATTATATCCCTTGTGTAAACAGGAAATATGCTTATTTCCACCTTTCCCCGAAAAAAAACTATTTGTTTTTCATAACACACTTATGTTGACCTTTCAACTATCTGCTTTCACAGGAGTTTGCAGGTGAAGATACATCTGACCTGTTTTTGGAAGAAAGAGAAACAGCCCTCCGACAGGCTCAGGAAGAGAAACATAAACTTCAAATGTCTGTCCCTGGCATCCTTAATCCACATGAAATTCCAGAAGAAATGTGTGATTAAAATGGGAAGTCATGCTGGGGTTTGATTTTTCTCTGCAACTTTTGTTAGCAGAAGAAAACAGCATCTGGATATTTGTCGACCAAAATGATGCCAATTTGTAAATTAAAATGTCACCTAGTGGCCCTTTTTCTTATGTGTTTTTTGTATAAGAAATTTTCTGTGAAATACCTTCCATTGTTTAAGCTTTTGTTTTGGTCATCTTTATTTAGTCTGCATGAAGTTGAAAATTAAGGCATTTTTTAAAATTCTACTTCATGCCCATCTTGTGGCTAGGATGGGGGAGGAGGCAAATCCGATTTGAACATATACTTGTAAATTCTAATGCAAAATTATACAATTTTTTTTCTGTAAACTACCAATTTTTAATTAGGGAGCATTTTCTTTCTAGCCTGTATTTCAGTCTAGAAGAAAAATAATGAGTAAAACAAATTGCATTGTTAAAAGGATTATAGTGCTGCATTGTCAGAAGTTAGCACCTCTTGGACTGAATCGTTTGTCTAGACTACATGTATTACAAGTCTGTATGGCAAGTTTGCAGCAAGATCATGTGCATATCATCCCATTGTAAAGCAACTTCAAAAATATGTGAACACAGTTAGTTATTTTTACACAGTTCTTTTTGTTTTTGTGTGTGTGTGCTGTCGCTTGTCGACAACAGCTTTTTGTTTTCCTCAATGAGGAGTGTTGCTCATTTGTGAGCCTTCATTAACTCGAAGTGAAATGGTTAAAAATATTTATCCTGGTAGAATAGGCTGCATCTTTTTAACAACTCATTAAAAAACAAACAACAAAACTGGCTTTTGAGATGACTTATACTAATTTACATTGTTTACCAAGCTGTAGTGCTTTAAGAACACTACTTTAAAAAGCAAAATAAACTTGGTTTACATTTATTTTCCCTTTAATGGCTCAAAATTATTCCTACATTAATGAAAGGGGTTATTTGTGTTTAGGTATTTCATTTTAAAATGATGTGTGCAACATGTTGACATGCAAATATTTCTGAAGTGCCTGGGAGTAAAAGCAGTTTATATATAAAGTTAATATGCTCAGATACCTTCTGTTCCTAAGAATCAAATTTCTTATTTGATACATTTTACCTTTGTTTGTGATTAAAGGGAGTGAGTGTCTTGTGTTCTGGTTAGGAGATCAGTGTAATGAAGAATGAGAACCCAGGTGTACAAACTACTACAAATATTGTTTTTTATATTTTTTAAATTGATTTTTTTGAGAGAGACAGAGGGGAAAATATTGATGTGAGAGCATTATCAGTCATCTGTTTTCTCAGGCCCCCTTTCAGGGATCAAGCCTGAAAACTGGGCAAGTGCCCTTACCAGGAATTGAACCAGCAACCTTCTGTGCACAGGATAACAGCCACACTTGGCCAGGGCCAGATATTCTTGATTTGTGTTCTTGTGAAATGTAACCCTTAGAAGTAAGTGGACGGAAGGGGAAAATGTATACAGGGCCTATAAAACACAAAAAAGGGTAGAGAAGGGAATACAAAAAGGAAACCAGCTGGGGTGAACTTGTTTCCAGAGGATAAACCAGTCTTCTATAAACTAGATTAAAGCTTAAGCACTTAAAGGACCTCATGTTACTTGGAGAATTAGCAATTTTGTATAATTGCCATCTTCCTAACAAGTTTGTGGCAACACTGCCATTTCAATAGAATATAATCCTGCTTAAAGCAATTTGTTTCTAAAACAGCAAATGGTAAGGATTCAAATGTATTCAAAGAGAAATATTGGAAGATTTTTAAAGTTTCAGCTTTGTTCAACTCTTTGGCTGTGTTATTAACTATTGGCGTATGACAAAAAATAAGTTTTAAGGGGCCCTGGCCGGTGTTCCTTAGTGGACCAAAATGTCTTGAGTTTGATTCCGGATCAAAGGCACGTACTTGGGTTGTGGGTTAGCTCCCCACCCCTGGTGAAGTACATGGGGGAGGCAACCAGTCAATGTGTCTCTTTCACATTGGTGTTTCTTCTCCCTTCCATTCTCTAAAAAGTGATGGGGGAAAATATCCTCAGGAGAGGTTTAACAAAACTTTTTAAAAAATAGGTTTTAAGGCGGGGTTTTTTTTTTAAGTACTTTGTTTTTGTTTTTAATACTCACCCAAGGATATTTTTCCACTGATTTTTAGTGAGAGAGAGAGACGTAGATTGGTTGCCTCCAACCAGGGCCCAGGCCAGGGAGGAACCTGCAACCAAGGTACGTGCCCTTAACCGTATTTGAGCCTGGGACCCTTCAGTCCGCAGGCCAATGCTCTATCCAGTGAGCCAAACTGTCTAGGGCAGTAATGGCGAACCTATGACACGCGTGTCAGAGGTGACACGTGAACTCATTTTTTTGGTTGATTTTTCTTTGTTAAATGGCATTTAAGTATACAAAATAAATATCAAAAATATAAGTCTTTGTTTTACTATGGTTGCAAATACCAAAAATTTCTATATGTGACACGGCACCAGAGTTAAGTTAGGGTTTTTCAAAATGCTGACACGCCGAGCTGAAAGGTTCGCCATCACTGGTCTAGGGCTTAAGTGGTTTTCTTGAATCAGGTAAGAGTTTAGGCCTTGATTGCTTGCCCTATTTCAATTAGTTATATAAAATACATATTGTTTATAATATTTGTAACTTTTCAACAATGGTCATGTATAATGTTCTTATCTTCTACAGCTCCACAGGACTCTTGATATGTTCGGGATGTTGCAAGAAACCAAGCTTTGGGTTGGGAACCAGGATAGTCCAACTTTTAATTAATGTTTGGCAACTGTGGATTCCACCACTGCCAAAAGCAAATTTATATCACAAATGAATTAAGGATAATTACAGCTATAAGCAAAAAGGGTATCACTTCTTTGAGGTTTAAAATATATTAACCTCACAAATTCAAGGATAATTCATAGATTAAACTAGAAACATAAGATTTAAGTGTTTTTATATAAAGTGAATCTCATCAGAGGTCCCATGATTCTATTCCGCAGTTCAATCCCTGCCTGAAGATTATTTTGTGGGAGTATTTATTGAGCAAAAATATTTGACCAAAACTGTAGAAACCATTCGTGGTAACAACTTAAATCCTAGATGGGAAGTTTCTTGCTCAATTAAATGTTAATCATATTTGGGTCAGCCTCAAGGTATTTGACAGCAAACGCCATTTTAGCTTTTTGGCATACTGCTATTTAACTCATAATGAGATATTGTTTCAATTGTCAGAAATTACAAAGTATAATTGGAATTGTCTTACTAATAAATAGTAAGAGGGTGTGGATCCTAGTCTAGGTATTTACTGGGTCTGACCTTACCTAAAGCTCTTGGCTATAATATTTGATAGTATTGCTACTTAAAATTGTCTTCCAAAGGATAGTTCAACATCAAAATAAGTTGTTACTCTTTATGTAAAAAGACAGATGTAGCAGATATAAACTTGATATTAAGAAGGAAATCCTCGTTGGAAGGATAACCATAATTCTGCTTTTTTCTATTTTTTTTTTTCAAAGTGGCAACCAAGGGCGCTCCTCATAAGCTCTGCAAAGAATTATCTACCAAATGCAATTTTATAAGTGGAACAGATTAATTACATTTTAAAAAGAGGTAACCAGTTCGTACATTTCACACAAGTATCATAAATACATATTCAGTTAAAAGTATTCTCACGTTAAAAAATTTATTGAGCCTTGCCAGTTTGTATAGAGCTTAGGCCTGCCAACTGAAGGGTCCCAAGTTAATTCCAGTGATGGCACATGCCCGGGTTGCTGGCTGGATCCTGGTAGGGAGCATGCAGGAGGCAGCCTATCAATGATTCTCATTGATGTTTCTATCTCCCTCTCTTTAAGATCAATAAAAGTATATTTTTTAAAATTTTTTTTGAATTTATTGTGATGACATTAATAAAATATAAGCTTCAGGTGTGCAATTCTATAACACATCACCTGTATGTTGTTTTGGGTGTTCACAGTCCCAACTCAAGTCTCCTATCACCATTTATCTCCCCTTTACTCTCTTCTACATCCCTCAACCCTCCTTTCCCTCTGGTAATCATACTGTTGTCCATGTCTCAGCGCTTTGTTCTTTCTTAATCGCTTCAACTTTTACCCCCGAAACCCTCTTAACAGCTGTCACTGTTCCCTCTGAGTCTGTTTATACTTGGTTAGTTTAGTTTGTTCATTAGATTCCACATATGAGTGATATATGATGCTCTGACTGGCTTATTTCACTTCACATAATCTTCATTCATGCTATCGGAAAAGGTAATAGTATTCCACTATGTAAATGCACCCACAACTTTTTTAATCCACTCATCTGATGGGCCTTTAGGCTGCTTCCAAGTCTTGGCTATTGTTAACACTGCAATGAACATAGGCGTACATACATTCTTTTGAATAGTGCTTGGGGTTTTTTACATATATTTCCAGGGTGTAATTACTGGGACATAAGGCAGTTCCATTTTTAATTTTTTGAGGTAACTTCATATCCATAATGGCTGCACCAATCTGCACTACCACCAACAGTGCACGAGAGTTCCTTTTTCTCCACATCTTTGCCAACTACATACGTTGATTTATTGATAATAGCTATTCTGGCAGATGTTCAGTCATTTCATTATGGGTTTAATTTACATTTCTCTGATGACTAGTGACATTGAGTATTTTTTCATGTGTCTATTGGCTGTATGTCCTCTTTGGAGAAGTGTATTCAGATCTTTTGCCCATTTTATAAGATTGTTTTTGGTGTTGAGTTGCATAAGTTTCATAGGTTTTGGATAACCCCTTATCTGCTGTATCATTGGTGAATATGTTCACCCATTCAGTTGGTTTTCATTTTGTTCATGGTTTTATTTTTATTGATTTTAGAGAGGGAGAGAGAAACATCAATGATGAGAATCATTGATCAGCTGCCTCCTGCACACCCCCTACTGGGGATCAAGCCCACAATCCAGGCATGTACCCTGACCAGGAATCAAACCCTGATCTGGTTCATAGGTCAATCAATGCTCAACCACTGAGCAAAGCTGGCTGGGCTCCCCTTTGATTTTAAATAAAGCAGTAAATAAACCAAGTGTGAGTTTGTCTTCACAGGCTATTCTTACCCCCACTTGTGTCGAATCTACTTTGGTAGGACTACCTGGAATGCAGGC